CTTATTCGTATATATATGCATGTATTTTTTTTTTTTATTATGAATTTTTGAAAGTTTTTTCTCTCTCTCTCTTTTATTATGGCCGTTAGGTATGAAATTAAGGTAAATTACATTTTTAATTTTAACACACACACACAATAATATGAAATCGGTGTAATAATTAATATATATATTGGTAATAGGTTTAGTTAGTTAGCTAACATGGAAATTAAAGTTTGTTTTTTTTTTTTTTTAAAAAAAAAGAAAAACGATTCGAGACCATATAAAGTAGAAAGAAAATATGCGTAAAATTTTTTTTTTTTTTTTGTCGTTTTTGCTGTTATTGTAGAATTGTTTTGAAAGACCAACAACCTGAAAATTGGCTTATGATGAAGAAAAGAAAACGAAAAAAGAAAAATTTCCTATGAAATTTATAATATTTTGAAACCGAGGGAAGGTTCGCGAAACGATGTGAGAGTCATGAGTTCGATTCGAGTTTATTGCATAACCGTTAATTTTTTTTTTTTTTTTTTTGGAAATTTTCTTTCTTTCTTCTCCAGAACTTTTGAGGATTGAAAAAGATGGCGATGATGATGATGATGATGATTTTTTTTTAAACGCTATTTATTCTGTAAAGAGGTTCGAATGAGAAGGTTTGAGGCACTTGAAAAGGTTTGTGAGGATGGCTCTTGTCGAAGTGGTCTCGGTTGGTCTCTCTCTCTCTCTCTCTCTTCCGGTCTGGTCCTTTTCTAAAGTTTTCACTTTTGTCGAAAGATTTAACAGATACAAACAAGCAAACAAACAAACAAAAGAAAAGAAAAAAAGTTTGTTTTTGTTATTAATTGTTGCCTTATTAATATCATTTTGTCTCGAGATAAATTTCTCTCTCCTACGTAAATTGACATGTATATCGGTCGCGATAATATGATGACTTGTTCAATGGTAAATAATATGTTTACATAGCATAGGTAGCCTAAGGAAAATGTTGCAACGATAGTGGAAGAAGAAGCAGTTATGATGACGATGGTGGTGGTGGTAGCGGTGGTGTTATTTGATTGGGGGGGGGGAAAAAAAAGGCATACCGAACGACGATTTCTAATGAAATTTTAAGAAAGTTAACTTGTAAGGAAAAGAAAAAAAAGAAATTTGTTTAATTAATGTATTGCAACATTTTTTCTTTCTTTTTCTAAAGTAATTTTTGAAGAATGTGAAACTGGATGATAAAATGACGTTGTCGGAAGAGAGAGAGAAATGTTTTTTTTTGTGTGTGTAAATGAATTACGGAGTGGGAATGACCTTGAGTGACGGCGTGTCACGTGATCGAAGCCAGTACCTTGACCTTGATGGCTGTTTGCTTCAATTTGATTAGGTTCTTTGCTCTTTTTTTTTTTTTTCTTTTTTTTTCGGGTTCTTGGCAAAATATTTTCAAATTTTCTTTCATTTGTAAATATCTTTCTCTTCTCTCTCTCTCTCTCTCTCTCTCTCTCTCTCTCTCTCTCTCTCTTTTAACATTTGCTATTTTTAATTTGTTTTCATTTAGAGTAGAGAGAGAGAGAGAGAGAGAGAAAAAAGGGAACTAGATGACGTCAGCAAAAAAAAATATGTGATTGCAGTCTCTATTACATACACATAAACTCTCTCTCTCTCTCTCTCTCTCTCACTTACTCGCAATCTTTTAAAAAAAGAATCTCGAATGAGTGAGTTATTTATAGAAAAATTTTAAAATAATAATTTGGTTGAATTAGTAATGTCATGCTAATGAAATAAAAAAATCTTTAAATAGAACGACAACAACAACAACACTTTAATCGTTGAATGTTTACGGTTAAATAGAGTATGATAGTAAGAAGCAGGGAAATTTTATTCCCGCGAAAAAAAATTTTTTCCCTTCCGGTTGAATACAAAAAAAAAAAAAAAAAAAAAAAAAATTCCAAGAAAAAAATGTTACCGGTTTTTGACTCTGACTCATTTTTTTTGTTTTTTGTTTTAGTGGTTACACAATTAATCGTTTTGTTTAAATAAAAAAAAAAAAAGAAAAGAAATAAAAAAATTTTGTTTTTTTTTTTCTCTCTCCACATTTTAAAAAATTAATGGGGGGCGTGGATTTCTCTCTCTCTCTCTCTCTCTCTTTCTTCCACGATTTTTTTTTTTTTTTTTTTGCGATTCGAAGCTTTCGATTTTATCGAATACGGCGAATATTTACGTAACGTTTTTTTTTGTTGTTTTACCGGAGTTTGCAGATTTTCTCTCTCTCTCTCTCTCTGTTGGTTCATCTGCTCCCCCTCCCCGCCCCCCATCAATCGAAAATTTTTTTGTACAGTTCGTTCAATTCACTTTTTCTTTTCTTTCTTTTTTTGCAAGGGTTATTGCAAAATTACAAATTATTGTAATTGCAACATGAGGTTATTATGGATTCTTGATGGTTGCATTTGGGTGTAGCAATAATACCTAATCGTCACTCAATTAAAAAAAAAAAAAAAGAAAAGAAAAGAAAAGAAAAGAAAGGAAAGGAAAAAAACAGGCATGAAAAATTACAATCATTTACTGTGTAATAATAATATTAATAATAATAATGCCTCTTTCTGCCACCATTTTGTTTTTTTCTTTTCGCATCCTTATTTCACACGATGTGAATGAATGCCTTTAAATTTTGCTATTTATACATCATCATCATCATCATCATCATCATCATCTTTTCTCTTTAATAGAATTTTGACCTGCCTTCAACCTTCACGAGGCGAGTCGCCTCGGTTAAATCGAAAAATGAAAAAAAATGAAAGTGATTCAGCCTTTGTCTTTTTATTATTATTATTATTATTATTATTATTATTATTATTATTATTATTATTATATTCTGTTACGCTTTTGTTCTCCTTGAGTCGATTTTTTTTTGTACTTATTTCTTCCTCTCGTGTCGGGGGGGGGGGGAAAAAAAAAAGAAGGAGAAAGAAAAATGAAAAATGAAAAACGAAATGAAAAGCAAAAAATTACTTTTTTTTTTTTTTTTAACTATTAAAGTTTAACGGTCGAGTAGAAAGAGAGAGAGAGGGGGGGGGAGAGAGGGGAGGGGAAAAAAAGAATTTTGGCGATATTAGAGGGTCGATCGAACGATTCATAGTCGAATACCGGCGTATAAGCCGCCTGCCTGCCTCCCTGCCTGCCTGTTTTAAATATGAAATGAGATAAATCTTGTGAGAAAAGGTCACGCCATTCATTACGTGGGCGAGAAGGGATTGCGCATGCTTTACATTGCTTTTATTATTATTATCATCATCATCATCATCATCATCGACACCACCACCGCATCATCATCATTATCATCGACAAAACATAAAATCGTGTGTGTGAGTGTGTAGTAGTGGGAAAATTTTCAGGTCTCGTCCGGTTTTTTTTTTTTTTTTTTTTTTTTTTACCTTTATGGGTTTATAGGTTAAAGGGGGGGGGAGCGGTTATGCGGTTATTCAGCACATAAGAATTTTTTTTTTTATACGCACAGGTTTTTCCGGCGTCGTTTGTTTTTTGAATGAAGGCCGCCGCCGCCGCCGCCACCGCCAACGTAAAATCGAACCACGTTTTTTTTTTTTAATGTTGCGCAAACGGGGGGGAGGGGAGGGGGACAAAAAAAGGAGAAAAAAAATTTTCGTGCGAAACGAACAAAACAAGGTAACGTCGTCGGTTTTTATTTACTAATAAGTAAATCGTTCGATAAGTCATCGTAAATTGGGTTAAATTATAATTAATTTATTGTTATTGTTTGTTGGCTCGCTCGTTTGTTTGTTTGTTTGTTTGTTTTTCGTTATCGGATGGTCCGATAAAAGATGTGTGTCCGAAACGGAAATTAACGAAGCAACAAAAAAAAAAAAAAAAAAAAAAAAAGAGTTTGTTGAATGATGATTGTTATGCAATTTAATTATAATTTGACTGATTCGGGGGAGGGAAAAAAAAAAACGAGGGATGAACGGGATGAAGGTTGCGGGGGTGGGAGTGGGGGTGGCGGTGAAAGCGGTAACGGAAACGATACGATGATGATTGTGTTACAAGCGGGAACGGCGGATTCTGCGCGCCGTTTTGATCGATATAGGACCAGCCGATGGGGGTAAAGTTGAAGGTCGGACTCGTGACCTTGACACTGTGCACATCCATTCATGTGAGCCTTTCATTCAAATGGTGTGTAATAAGCGCCGGGACCGGGGAACTCATTCAATGAGCTTTGAGAAAATTTTCACTTGAGTTTATTATTATTATTATTATTATTATTATTATTATTATTTATTATTATTATTATTATTATTATTATTATTATTAATTATTATTATTTATTATTATTCGTTTTTATAACTCTCACTCTCGTCGCGTTGTTGTTTTTAAATTTTCTTTTTTGTTTGTTTGTTTGTTTATTTGTTTGCTTGTTTGTTTTTGACGTAAGAAATGTCTGCGTCGATTATTATCGAGTGAAAGAAGGATACGTACGTCGATTGCACAAAATGAAGGAGGAGGAGGAGGGGGGGAGGTCACTAAACGTACTTGAAGTGGGAGTGAATATTTATGTTAATATCGTGTCGAAACATTACCGTGGAATTTGATCCGAGAACAACCAACCAACCCAACAACCTGAGTTATAATTTAATTATGAAATTTAAAAAAAAAAAATTAGAAAGTAAATTAAAATTAATGCGTCGCTCACTCGCTCGCTCGCTCATTCTTTCTCTTTTTCATTTTTTTTTTTTTTTTTGTGAAAAACTATTCGTTTTTTATTTATTTATTTTATTTTATTTTTATTGCAGATTCTTCTTAAAATAAGTGTCGGTCATAAGCGTGTTTTTATTTTCACATACTGCTGACATGGTTGCTTCGTGAAAAGTGAATGTCGAATCAACAACAACAACAATACTAGCAGTAGTAGTAGTAGTATTTTTTTTTTTTTTTTTTAATTAAAATAATATTGGAGAGAATGAAAAAGAGTTTAAAATTGTTCATGAAGAAAATCTCCAAATGATCAGTGAAACATCGTTGTCACCATCATGGACGCGACTGCCACAAGCACTAGTTGGACTCAATCGGCGAGCACCACCAGACTTGCATCGCAAAGTTTGTTTCTATTATTATCATTATTATCATCATTTTGTTTTTGTTACGTTGGTGTCTTTCAAATAACTAAAAGTTTTTTTCTTGTATTTGTTGTTTAAGATTCTCCGACGAAAGGAGTAGTGTCAGTCGTAGTCGATTCGAGAAACGAAAGTCCAAATGTATTTGCTGTTAAAGAGGAACATATTGTCGGTCATAGGGGTACTTCGATAACTTGCGGAGGCGTGACCGTTACTTCTATAAACGTACCTCAAAATGAGGAACAAGACTTTTCTTCTCAAAATGGTAAAAAAAAAAAAAAAAAAAAAAAAAAAAATTCATTTAAATCTTTTGACTCATTACGCTAATATTTTCTTTGAAAAATATCTAATTTTTTTTTCGGTTTACTATTATTATTATTATTATTATTATTAATAAAAAGTTGAGTAGTAAATAACAAGGAGTATACAAATATGGGTACCCGTTAACTTGTTTCTTCCTTGAGAAAATGTTTTCACATTTATATTCACATACTCGCGTATATAATTTAATAGTTTTTTTTTTAAAATATATTTCGAACGAGTATTTTCCCATAATTTAGGAATTTTTCATTTAATTTTTCTTTGTAAAGGGTAAAGTCGTTATGATTTATTTAAAATAAAGGTTAAAGGTCAACTTTTTTAAAAACCGGCTGTGCTACGTTTATTATTATTATTATTATTATTATTGGCCGGCCGTTTATTGATTGTGATTTTTTGTTTTTGGATGTAGTAAAAAATACATTGCATTTCGGTGCAAACGAGAGAGCGGAAATAGGTATAAAATGTGAACCTCTTTCGTCAAATTTTAACGATGACGATTCAGGTACGGATTCGGAAGTTAGCAAAATCGATTTCAGCGGTGAGTTTTTTATTTTAATTATAATTAATTTGTTATTTAAAAGAAAAGAAATCTCGTCGAATAAGTTTTTTTTTTTTTAATTATCCATTTTTTTTTTTACTTTTAGACGTTCACCTTCGAATCAAAAAAAAACGAAGCAATAAAAATGACGAAAAATCTCAAGACATACTTAAAATTGAAGAGCCAGAAAGGCCAATGTCCTGGGAAGGAGAGCTTTCGGATACAGAAATGTCAATTGTCACAGATGGAAGGCGTATGAGAGACGACATAAAAGATGAATTGATGAGTGATGTTCAAATGTCACCGCAGAGTATTCCAAAAAGCGAAATCGTAAATATTTTATTTATTTATTTATTTTCATCATATGACACTTGTGTGAAGATTGTTTTTTAATATAAAAAAAAAAAAATTTCACCTTGACAGGGCGATGCAATTATTATGGAATCTGGGAGACTTAAACAAGAACCGGAGACTTGTAACGAAACAATGAGCGGATATTCTTCAAGTTCTAGAGAATTACCACTGCTCGTCGATAAGTTATTGGGTACGTTCAGAAAAAAAGATAAAATCGATCGATGAGTGACGTAACATCCGTTTAATTTATTGTTTGTTATTGTTGTCGTCAAGGTGGTTATTCGACTCCCTCGCAAAGTCCGATTCTTCAACAGAGGCAACAGCATCATTCTCTTACAAAACAGCATTCCCTTTTGGGAGCTCTCCCTCCTAATCCTTCTCCGGACTCGGCAATACATTCCGCGTATTCGTATTCTTCTCCGGCGGCATCTCCCGCGGCTTCTCGTCATTTACCCTCGAGTGGTTTTTCGTCGCCTTTCACGCCTTCCCTATCGAGAAATAATTCGGATGCAAGTCAATACGGAGGATCGCAACACTCATCCTGTTACAGTTACAACAGTGAGAATTTTTCGAGTCCGACGCATTCTCCCATTCAGAGCAGACACCTTTTAGGATATTCGAAAGTTGATGGAAGTCCCATACATTCTGTAACGGGTATGTGTTTCGAATCGTAAGAAGAAGTTTTATAACACGACAACTGAATTTAAGATTCCATTTTTTTTTTTTTTTTTTTTTTTTTTTTCCCAAAGGAAATGCTCCTTACGGTTCGCGTGGTTTACAAACCTCGCAAGGGGGGCAACTTGATTATCAGCAACAACATTTGGACAATGAAAGAGACGAAGAGAAAGATCCTTGCCTCGAAGAGAAAATGTCATGTTTAGCATCTGATTTTTCTCAACATTCTGCCTTAGCAACTCCTCCCGGAATATCCAGACAACAGCTGATTAATAGGTATACTTTTTGTAAGATTGCTGACGTGCTGTATCGTGCGGGGAGTTGCGGTTTTAAAAGCCTAATAAAATTTGTTTTGATTTTGTTTTCAGTCCTTGTCCCATTTGCAGTGACAAAATCTCTGGATTTCATTATGGAATATTTAGCTGTGAGTCGTGCAAAGGTTTTTTCAAAAGAACTGTTCAAAATAGAAAGAATTATGTTTGTTTAAGAGGATCCCAGTGCCCGGTGACAATAGCAACGCGGAAAAAATGTCCGGCGTGTAGATTTGAAAAATGTTTAAAAATGGGAATGAAATTAGAAGGTAATACGACAACAATTATTATTATTATTATTATTGTAATAAAAGCAACAAATTAAAATTTTTTTTTTTAAAATGGAACAGCAATAAGAGAAGATAGAACGAGAGGAGGGAGGAGTACATATCAGTGTTCGTACAGCGTACCTTCCTCTCTGCTTCAGAATAGTGATTCCATACACAAACTCTCAAATAGTCTTACAGCTGGGGAAACTCTAGTCAAACTAGAAACGCCACATTTAGGATCGCCAAATTCAAATTTGGATTCAAGACTGCTTCCGGTTCCGCAATTGTTACAAGTAAAATTTATAAAAATTTTTTTTTTTTTTTTTTTTTTTTTAACCTTTTACAACCTTTTCTTACTACGCGAGGTGTACTACGGCCCCCTTAAAAATAAAATGTCCTTAATAATTTACAGGAAATAATGGACGTTGAACATTTGTGGCACTGTAACGAAAGAGAAATGCTTGGCTCTCCGATGAACAATCACAGACATTCACCTTCGTCAACCCCCTCCTCTCCATCCCCATCTCAATCTCAAACGAATTCAGAATCGAATCCGGATTTTCTATCGAATTTGTGCAATATCGCGGATCATCGTTTGTATAAAATTGTTAAATGGTGTAAAAGTTTGCCCTTGTTTAAAAACATATCGGTAAGAAAAAAAGACATTTTCAAAAAGGTTAAAGTAAATATGTGTGCATGAAAAAGGTCAAATGATAAGCGGGAGAGAGAGAAGAGAGAGAGAGAGACAGAGAGAGAAGAGAGAGAATGATGAAAATCCAAATAGAAAAAAAAACCATAATTTTTTTTTTTTCCAGATCGACGATCAGATTTCACTTTTGATAAATTCCTGGTGCGAATTATTATTGTTTTCCTG